CATGAATATTCCAATGTAGGAGAGCTATTATTTAGTTGATCTACGAGTGATAACGGTTACAGTGCATGTTGGAGAATTTGAAAGGGAAGGAGCTAGGGGGTGAGATAAGAAATTAGAGGGGGGGGGGGGCATGTGTAGTATCAGAAGGGGGATCAGGAAGTGGATGATCTGGGGAAGGGCAGAATAGTGACATGAGGGATTCACGTGGGTCTCCAGATAGGAATGGAAGGGATAGAGGGGATGAAGGGAGGGTTAATGTGGGCGTAGTTGAAGCTGGGGAGTATGGGCTGTGTTGGGGGGGAAAGGAGGAAGGGGTGTAGGGGGAATATGAGTAGGAGGAAGATGGATATTGGCAGTCACTTTGAGTGTGGAGGGAATGGGAGTTGTGGAATTTGAGGGTGGATGAGGGTTTTCGGTGTCATTTTGGGGACCGAGCAGATAGTTTTGAATATCTTCGAGTTTCTGAAATGGAGTTGGTTGGGGTGTTTTGTGAGATAAAGGTTTTCTTAAGAAGGGGAGAAGAGGAAACTGGTGTCTGAGGAGTAGAGGCAAAGGTAGGTAGAGGTGAGTGTGTGGTAGAAGAAGAAGAAGGGAACATTTTGTCTGCTGCGGGTAGTGCGGGGAGGGAGAGGGGAAGGTGTTTGGGCTGCAGTAGAGATTGGAGTGTGGATTTACAGTGGCAAAATAATTTGACTGGGGAAGGTAGGAGGCAGAAGTGGGGAAGTGAGATGCAGGAGGGTTAGGTATTGGGGAGGGTGTAGGAACATCTTGGGAGGGAGGGGGAGGGGCAGAGCGAGCAACATTACGGGAGTAGGGAGTATGAGAAAAACCTCATCAACGTACTTCCTGTCTGGCTTCACACAGTGTGAGACCATGTCTGCATCTGAGAGTTGCCACCTCAGACACAATCTTGTAAGTGGGGCAGCCCCTATAAAGTACATTACGGGGGAAGCCGCAGTTAGCACATGTGCATGACTGTGCAGAGCAGTTTGATCAGTTATGATCAGGTTGGGCACATAGAAGGCATTGGGCTGTGGAACGGCAGTGTTTGGCAGGATGTCCTAAACGCCAACAGTTTTGACATTGAGGAGGTTAATATGTTTGGGCTGGGAGGGATTCTCCACCAATGTAAATATCAAAGGGAAGTTCATGTCTACAGAAAGTAATTTTGGTAATGTTGGTGGGGTTCTTACAATGACCCCTAGGAGGAATGGAGTAGCACTGTACTGATATTAAATCATAGTCTGTGAGGCAGACAAGTAAGTCTTTTCCACAATCTGACCAATTTTTGTTATAGATAGGGCAGTTTTCTGGGGAGATAGAGACCGTTCTGGTACAAGTATTGAGGGTTGGAGGCAGGAATGGGTTTGCCAGAGAGATCAGTTAGAGTTGATAATGATATAGCTTGAGTTTTGGATGTAACTGTAACAAGACAGGAAGAATCAGGTCAGTTAAGGAAAGACACTTTGCCTACTTGTTTTTTGGAGACATTGCTGAAAGAGAAGTGTTGTCAGAGTAAGGAGCTATGGGGAGGAATCACAAAAAATTGGTCCCATTTGGCTGGGAGTATATGATATTTGTAGAGACAAGGGTGGTAGAAGGACAGGGATGTGTGGAAGAGGGAATATTGTTGATGGAGTTAGTATTACAGAGAGGTGGACTATAAGGCTGTAAAGTAGTAATAAGGGAGGATGGGGTGATTGATGAAGAAAGTTTTGGGGGTAGAGGTGATGAAGTTGATGAAGTTGGGAGAGCAGGAATGTGTCCTGGAGACTGAGTCTTAACTTGGGTAGGTAATGTACTAGCAAGCATTGAGGAATGGGTAGTAGTTACAGTGTTCAGAGTTGTGGTCAAAGGAGAGCCTGGGGTCAGGGAGCTTGGAGAGTTTGAATTGGTGGGGCTTTGATGAAGGGGCAAGCCATACCCTAACAAGGGTATAACATTTTCATTATTGGCCATGGTAAGTCTATAGACTATATTGGGGAAAGAAACAGCCTGCCCTCAGGGTCCCTTTGAGGGGCAAGGTCTAGACAACTAAATCAGGGGAATACCGTGCCCATGGATCCCTCAGGCCATTCAGGACTGGCACAAAGTCAGCCTTTCATTTATTCAGCACGGCTCTCACACCTTAGGAAGTGGATAGTAGAAGGGGTTGGAGAAGGGATGGAAACAAAAAAGCAGGAGGGGGAAAAGACTGTGCAAAATTATTTGAGTCGAGGGCTGAGATTCTCAGCATTGTGGCCCAGTCCTTGTCTCCTAAGCCCCCCCCCACCCTATGAAAAAAGAAATGAAAAATAACCTATTCTAGGGGCATTTTCAAGCTATAAACAACAATATGCATCTATAATTTTGGAAAAAAAAAAAAAAATCAAGACTAATAAAAAAAAAAATATCCTTTGCCTTGGGGTGGAGGAGCCTTGTGGAGGCCAAACAATATTCTTATGCCCCCCATTGACACCCCTGGCCTTTCCCTAATGCCAGGATGATGGCCCTAGCTTCATTTATTAAGGAGAAATGGCCCCTTAAAAGTTTGCTTAAATCCTCTTTATAGCCACAATACCTAAAAAATTTCTTATACAGCAGCAAAGACTATAGAGAGCTGGGTAAGTTTATGCTTAATGCTTCTGACATTTCCCCTTAAGCAGCTGACTCAGCATGCACCCTCACATGTTTTTTTGGCATGGCTAAGGGGCCTCCCACTATTATTGGGTTAAAGCAAGAATAATGCAAGAATATATATACATAATTACATATTTTTTTAAAAGATTGTATGGTGATTAACAGTCAAACTGAGGCTTATACATTCCCTGTTTGATATACAAATTCCAGTAAATCATAAGGCAACCAAGTACTTGAAGACAAGAATTGAATAAATAAATCTGGGATCCTTCTGTTCTTATTCACTGAGATGTAGAGTAAATAATTTCCAAAAAAGGAAGGAAAGAAAAACGAAGACAGAACTAAGTAAAATCCGACATGAGATCTTTCAAAATCCTCAAGTCCTTAAAGAGGCTAGTTTATGTCAAGGTTACTTGACTCCACCTAATCTTCCTGCGAATCTTATTCCACGGGGAACTTTTCAGCACTAATCTAACTGTGTTCTGCTTCTTCTCCTCTACTAACTCTTTTGACCATGTATGGAAGATTTTTGAGACATTCACACCAAGAAATTTTCAAATTCTAAACGTGTACAGATATAATCATCCTTATCAAAAATTTTCAGGACTTTTTTTTTTTTTTAGTCAGGTACAAAGACGACTGAAACTGCAATCAATGCAATTGTGAAGGGTTAAGGATTGGAAAGAGGCCTCATTTTTATTTTCTCATTTTGCATAAAGGTTTACTTTACATTTTAATTAGCATGTATAGCAATAACACAGAGAGTACTTACAGGAACAGTGAATGAATGAATGAAAAATAATGTGGTGATAATCATATCATACAGTAAATGGTCAACTGCGGAGTAATAAAATAACACAGAAGATGAAATAATATAAAAAACAAGTAATAAAAATAATATCAATATCATAAGCATTAAGAAAGTTAATGGATACAAAAGCATAATAGAAAATCATCATCATCATCATCATCAAAACAACAATATTCAAAACAAATAACATTAACGCCCTTCTAAATCCCTTACCAAGAAAGTGATTCTAAATCATACAATTATACTCATCACCTATATCTTCATAACTTTTTATACACCCTCCATCCACAGATTTTTGAATTTCAACTTTCTACTTACTCCTATGGTACAGGTAATTTTCTTAACACCTAAGGATTTCAGCAAGGAAGAAGACACCCCTCCCCACCAAAAGAGAAAAAAGTAAAAAAGTAAATAAATAAATAAGTAAATAAATAAGTAAGGAAATATATGGATACAAAATGGAGTTCTCGAACAACACTCAACATATCATATAAGAAATTCATGTTCCAATAAAATTACTTGATGCGCTTGTTAAAGAAAACTGAATTCATATAACTTATATGATTTCATAAGTTACTTTGAGAATTATATACAGAACCAGTATCCTTAAAGACTTAAGTTCATGATATAATTCTCAAAGTAACATGAAATCATATAAGAAGTGAAAATTCAGTTTTCCTTAGCAAGTGCAACAAGTAATTTTACTGGAACATCAACTTCTTATATGATATGTTGAAATTATCTGAGAAACCCATTTTGTTTTTATAAATTTCCTTATTTTTAAGGATACTTGTTCTGTATATAAGATATGTCTAACAATGGTTTTCATCAAACTATTGCACTTTCACAGGTTAATATACAATTGGCTATAAAATTACATATCATATATTCTGTTGCAAACCAACATTTATTTAGTTCAAGTCAGTGATGATAATGCTGAATTAAGGACTAAAGATTAATTTCAAAAACCACTCTACATCTTGACTCTATTGAGTATGTTTAAATACACAGGGGTCATTCCATATGAACTCAAAAGAACTTTAGGATCCATCACAGAACTGGCTTAAATTATACAAAGAATACCTCTTTATGAATAATGAAGATGCAAAATTTTAGGTTTCACCTGTGTCTTATGAATCGCCAACATTAATCTAAATGGGGGTTGGAAGCAAATATGCTGACAGAGAATCCAGAGTTTAATGCAGAAAACTGATACCTGGGTAATATGAGAGCCAATCTAGCAGGATCTGTGATCAGAAATGGGCTATCTCATATTTTTTAAGTTTTTGGCCTTTTAATTATGGTTTTTTTTTTTTGTATATTGATTCATTCCTGTGTCAGGAACTAAGCTAAGAATGAAAAGAATCTTTTGCACTTAGTTAATATAGTATACTAGTATCTATGTGTTTAGCAAAAACTGGACATTTATCACAGCCTTCATGTGCTCATAAATATTCAAGATAGGGCACCTTTCCAAGTTATAATCCATTTTGCCTTTACACCAGAAATGCAAGGAGAGAGTGTAATGTCATGTAGTTTTTCCCCAAAGGGCAATGGCCTATTCACAAGACTTCGCCATCATTTATCTGAGCTACTGCTTAGATGCTCTCTCAGGGGTACTGTAAATTTGACAATCTATTGGTAGTTACTATGACTAAATGTGAACAATTTTGTTTCATAATTTTGCAAATTCTGCTTTGACTTTGTTTCCCTAACTAGTATCTTGCTTTCATTTAATGGTTTACATATTAATCCATACCCAGGATAAAGAGAGTGAATCACACATCTTTTTTAATTTTATTTCTTTACAAATGGTGTTATACCTTTTTCAGAAAAGCAGACAACACAGCTTTACTTGTCTATCACCATGATGCAACTGCTGAACATTTCCAAGAAAGCTTTAAAAATGGCTATAATAAATGTCTCGACATATGATTATCAGAAATGATCAATTTAGATCTCTTTAACAGCTATAATCATAAAAAAATACCAGTGAATACATGCTTTTTCCATTTCAATTCACTGCTATTTCTAGGGAGTATTCTTTGAATTTTGTCCATTTCATGCATCTATGGAAGATCAACAGTGCCAGATATCCTGAACCATACTTTGCTATAGTTTAGATTGTCCAAATTTGTCTACCTCTTTGACTTACCTAATAGTTCTATATCTATTGTAAAGCATAGCTTTCTGTAAAGCTTTAATAAATTTTGCTTTGAAAAATATTTAGACTATGTAGAGGCATAATTAAAGATTTTTAAATTAGAAAACTTAGTTGCTTTGGTAAATGCCAATTCTTAATATGTGACAATACCATTTCTATAGCAAAAAACGTTTGCAACATTCCTATCCATATATAATTCTGATGTAAGGAAAAGTACACAAGCAACCAGCATCGATCACTTCTCAACAGATTCTGGTTGCTCGGATACCTGTACCAATTTGCCTTCAAAACCTCCTATGAATTAACAGTACTGATTGACTACTGGGTGCCTCTCTCTTTTTTCCTTCTCTTTTTTGAAGACCCATACTTTGAAAGGTCTTTAGGACTGATGCTTAAAAAAGTCTTCATTATTCATATCAGATATGTTCAGTAGAATTTCAGCCAGTTTTGAGATGGATTCCTTGTGGACTCTGGTGGAATTCATATATAATGACCTAAAAGCTGGCAAACTTTTGTCAATGGGGATGATACAGTTTTTATCTGAAAATAAAATCCTTTATCCCCCCCCCCCCATGCGCTTCCCAGCTGAAAATTAACCAGGGGTAAATTAGGTCTTTATTATTTCAATGAGATTGATTTTATAATGCAGAAAATGCATGACAGCTAAAAGTTACTGAGCATCTAAGTTGAAAAGTGTACCCTGTGTAAATGAAAGAAAAAAGGAAAAAAAAAATCAAAATAAGGGATGCATGGAATGGTGGGTGAAATTGTCTGTCTGTCTGGAAAGGGTATCAGAAACCATCAAAAATATAAATACAAGTTGTAAATCTGCAAATCATCTATTATATATGTATATATATGTATATATATATATATATATATATATATATATATATATATATATATATATATATATATATATATATATATATATATATATATATGTATATATATATATATATATATATATATATAGATATATATATATATATATATATATATATATATATATATATATTATATATAATGAAACTGATGTTACAAATATTGGTTCTACAATAAAATAACAAACTGAGAGGGTAAAGGTCTCTTGCTTCTCTTGTTCTACTATTTCATAGCTATCTACTTTGACATTCCAAGGTATAATGAAATGCAGATGAAAATACTCTGAAGAAAAATCACAGTGCCCTCTGCTTATGACTGATCATGCGGAAACTAATACATTTTATGACAAATTTTAAGATTAACCTTTTCTTTGAAAATGGTAGATATGCTTCCTTCATTTCCTCTAGAATAAACATACTTTTCACGTTCAAAACTTCAGTGGAAATGGACATAGGGTAATTTCATATTCACCAAATAATTATAAATATAATGTTGTAAGATATGCTAAAATTAAAGCTTTGGTTGCCAAGATTGGTGTTTTCCAGTAGTTAAGTTTTTAAAATATGACTGAAACAAGGTTTTTTTTGTGTGAATTTCATCCATGGTCAGTGTGACTGAAGGAGGGCATATAGTCAAGGTAGGTACTTGAACATTTAAATTTTTAACCATGTTTTTTTCTGCAAACCAATTACCATATCAAGTACATAGTATGTCAAATTATAAATCAATAATCTTATTCAAGTACCATCATGGCTTTATGTAGCAAATGACTGCTATTCTACAAAATGAAAAAGGAAAGAAAAGAAAATCCCAATCTAGGTAATGCATGCATACTACAAAAAACTCCTGATTTTACCTTTTCTAATCGATCAATTTCTTCTCTCCAGCGATCATCTCGAGGCGATAGGATGGGACTAGTGATATTCTGGTTGATGGGTCTGAGTACATCGCTGGGAGAGCCACTACCCGAGGTTGGACTTAGAAGCTTTTCGTACATGGATCTTATGAAGCCGGATGACTCACCCAATTCTATGGATAATTCGGACAATGGCACACCCATTGAGCGGAACCGTGGTGACCGAGAGGGACTCATGATCAATCTCCGACTCTGGTTTCTGAAACTGCTGTACTTTTGAGGAACATTCTCTATGTTCTCATCTGAGAATTCGTACTTCTTGTCGGCCAGTCGCCTTCGTCTGAACACACTAAGTTTTTCATGTCGGGAGTCCGTAATTTCATCTATGAATTCATATTCTTTTTCTGCGAGTTTCACTGGTGTCTTCTCCCCATAGGAACTTTCACTTGAACTTCTAAGTACCATTCTACCCTGTTGTTGAGTATTAAAGGCACAATCATCGGCCTTTATATTATTTCCACAGCAATTTGTTCCATTCTTACACCTATCACTAATGCTCACTGTGTCCCTGAGATCTGAGCGGCCCAGGCGAGAATCTTCACTTATATGCGAGCACCTGGTTGAGTCGTCTGAGTCATTATCGTTAAAAGTGTCACTTTCTCCATAAAAATGGTATGGAGAATCATCAGGCAATTGAAAATCTTTGAGCGAGAGATTACGAACGATGCCCTGGACAGCTGTGGCACCATCGTCTTGATCTAAACAACTGCCAGGACTTTTATCACAGTCATTGATGTCAAGTCTATGAGACATACCCTGACCCTCCATGGTACTGCCCCTTTGATAATTTTCACACATCCTATGAATGTTATTACAACCCTCAGTTCTTGCCCTCTCATCATTTCTTGGTGCTACACTTCCAATCAGAATTTCCCATTCTCTGTCTTTATCACTCATTGAACTACTGCACCCACACATACTCCCAGTGTTCAACGTAACTTTCAGACTACTTGTACTAGACTCAATACTGCTTAGATCCTTTTCAATGTGAGTTCCTTCTTCTTCCTCACAACTACTCCGACCATCTGCCTCCAGGTCAACATCACTGCTTGAGCTGTCCATCACATTGAACTCTTTGCCTGATCTGAGGCTTGATCCACAGTACTGCTTACCTGAAGAGGCCCTATTTTCTTTAATTTTCCCTTGCTCTCTCTCATCATCACTCTCCTCCTCCTCATCTCTCTCCACAGAACTTATCTCATTGATTCTCATACCTAATATTTCTGTCTCTACCTCCTTCATCTTTCTGTCCATGTTTTCGAGATTAACATTCAACACGTGGATAAAATTGCCAGCATTAAGCACCACAAAGCCCTCCCGCTTCATTTGTACATTTGGGAGGAATCTTGGGAAAGGAGGCACCATCTCAAAGCTGGTGTGCACAGTGATCCCATGTTGTAGGCAGCTGAATCGTGCACAGCTGTTCCACCGCTCGGCTAAATCTGAAGAAGAACATGAAGATGCTAAATGGAAGCCATTACACTGCTGTTTGCTTTTGAACATCGGTTTTATATGACAGATTTACAACAACTCATACAAAATATCATATATTAGGGGTAACATGATGCAAATATCTAACCAATCTTTATTTCTATATTCACAAAAAATAACCCTTTACTAAAGTTATTTTGGAATAAGCTGATACAATTCCTCATTTCAATTGTATTTTTTTGAAACTTACCCATGAGTTAAGGATAAATGAATGGAAAACCAATAGATCAATTTCAGTGTACAAAAAAAAAACTAGAGTTAAGGATAAATGAATGGAAAACCAATAGATCAATTTCAGTGTATAAAAAAAAACTAAGTAGAATCATATTTTAGCAATGATAAAACCACTTTCAACCATGTATGACATTGGGAAACTAAGTAAAAATGCTTCAACCACCGAACAAAGCTGGAAAAAGAAATAATATTTGGATGCTTCAGTCACTTAATTTCAAGGTAGTATTTTATTCCTGACAGACAACATAACAGTCTCATCAAACTATGTGATTCTGGCTAACTTCTAATATTTATAAACCACCCCCTAGACCCATACACCTTAATGACAGCCTTTTGAACCCCCCCAAAAATTTATCATCCCCCTAGAGGATCCCACCAATAGTTACGGGTCAGTACTTTAGAGAACCTGCAACTGACATTATGAATTGTAATACTACTCTACATTACCAGTAACAATCATCTCACACTTTCTCACATGCACATACACTGCTGTGACAAAACACACCAATTAACAAATACACATACACAAAGAGGGGTTAAATCTGGTTATGTCTGGTTGTCAGACAAAGGGCATGTCAAATCTAAGTTGAAGATATTCTTATACCTTATTCTTGTTAAGATTACTACCTATGAATCCCATAATACCAAGTATGTTTTGTATTAACCCCCATGATCCAGATGATGTGACCATCTAGCCATGAAAAAATTTAATGAGGGGTGGGTGACATGAACATGCAATTATAGGAAAATCTGTATAAAGGCCAGGCTGATGTGAATTTGCTGATGTGAGCATTTTGGTTGTTGGCCAGGGTGATGGGAAAAACTCATGACTCACAAACCTCTTCAAGGGTTATTAAACTCATTTGGCATTAGAAAGGGGCTTTTGTAATATATTCATCAATACACGAGTGTGGAATGTAATGTCCATGAGTCATGACTGGAAGAGTACCAGCTCCAGGGAGGATGCCATTTCCATATTTATCATCCTAATCCTGGCTACTGTAACCAGTGTATTACAGAAAACTGAATATTATGTAAATATATAAAAAAAATTACAAAAATATGAAAATGCTGATTTGTGATATTATTTTTGCAGTGATTTATGATCCAGCCTACAAGCCGCACACCCATCAGAGCAGCCGCTCACGTAAGCCTAATGCCCATATCTTGGGCCATGTGACAACCGTGAAGCAACTGGATCCAATGGGTTGATATATTCCATTTAAGAAAAGTTATAAAGAATAATAGATATAGCACTATTTTGTTATATATCTTAAATATAATAATTGAAAAATAATATCCAGAAGTACTGCTTACAAAAATAAATACAGAAATTTTATCTACTCTGTGGAAAAGACACCTTTATATACATGCATGTTATCTTGACACATAAAGAAAGAAAAGCAATGTTTCCATACCATCTTCTTCATATGACGTAGCCACTTGGTAGCAAGCTGAACAATTATCAAGTGAAGGGACAGCTGTAATAGTGATATAGCACCGACGAGTTTGTGAAGAATTGCCATCAAGACCTTCAATCATACTGCAAAAGAAAAAACATAAGAATTGGGAAAAATAAGCACCATCTTGTAATGCAAAAGGAAAAGAAAATAAATAAAAAAATAAAAAAATCTTTTTACTAAATGCAAATGTAGTTAATTCTGACAGAATGGTCCATGGCCTGGTAATACAGCTATGAAAATGCAAATGGAAATGGGAACTGAAACAAAAATGGAAATAGAAATAAAAATGAAAAAGAAAGAAGGAAAAACATTTCCATGAACTTTTAAATTTTCCATGACTAAAGTGCCTTATTAGTTGCTCTGTCACCATTTACCTGCAGCCATAAACAAGAATTTTGGAGAGGTCCTTTGGCCATTGACACACAGAGATGAATATATTCTCATACACACTCTCCTGGAGGTCCTGGTCACCAAAGAGCATTACCTCTGCTACTTTTCTCAATGGTGCATATGGTACAAACACCCACCAGTGGAGCCTGTACCTGTGGAACAAAAGATCAAAGAAAATACCATAAACATTCATAAATATCAACAAAAGAATCAAAAACAATTTTAAGGAAACTGTTATCAAAATAAATTCAATATCATATGTGTGTCATTGCATCAAATCTAGGGCCGAGAGCAAAAGGACCAATATCCAAAAATGCCAATTTGGAGATCAGCCAACCACTAAACTGGAAAAGTTGGTTTATTTAAGTGTTATGAAGGCTAATGTAATCAGTGCATTTAGGATACCACAAGAGCATTGCTTCGAAATCCAATTCACTGAAAATCTTACATCCCAATGTGTGACTGACTGCATTTTGAATAGAGAGCAACAGAAAGCTTCAAGTTGGCCACTTTTACTTTTTTTTTTTATCAATATGCCATTTTCAGCATACAGGTAATTGACTTTACAGCTACAGAAAGGGGGGGAAAAAAACGATGTGAATGTATTACAGAATTATTGTCAAAGGTATATTTCTAAAGCATAAAATGGTAGAAACACTTTAGAAATCGAAATAGGGCAAATGGTCTAAACACCAACATCAGTAAATGCCCTAAATTATTAATCATTCAGCAAAAAATACATTTTTTGCAACTTTTGTGTTGAAAGTACTACAGTAACAAAAATTATTATACCTGTTTTTCGTTATAAAAAAAATTGTTATATAAAAAATTATCTTTAAAAAGATTAGATTAATGCAACACAGTTTGATTAGCAGCATAAAAAAAATGTGAATTATTACTTGCTGAATTTCAATCAACAAAGCAAACATTCAAATGCATTTTTCTCAACACTGACTTTTTTTATGACATTGGTCTTCTTGCTCTTTGCCCAAGAAATGATGTTTAGAGATTGTCAAACCAACCTTTATCTATAGTGCATTATATGTTTCACAACCACTGAACACACTAATAACATTTTGACTACAAACCTGTGTATCATTTGCAGTGTGTGATCATCTGTGTCACAAGAATGAGTGTATGAAAGGACAAACTGACCGCATTTTGTGAACCCTAAAAATATGTGCCTGGAAATAGAGAAAAGAATATAAGTCCAATTTCACCTTACAAATATGAACAACTTGAATTGTTTAACAAATGAAGTGCTCACCACTATGATTTAGGTTAAAAAAATGTACTGAATAATGACTCTTCAATAAGCAAGTTATTTCTACTCAAATCAAAGAGTACATAACACTTCTTTGCCAATAATCTTGTTCGATTCTTCCTAGGATACATGTCTAGCCCCCACTCAGGGGGTCTACTGCATACGCATTCCCAGTTTTTCAGGGAAAGGGGTTTATTTTGGGGGGTTCTTCTCTTGCTTCTCCCCGAAAATCCTAAAAAATGGATAGTTTTAAACTCATCTCC